CCCCTCCCCAAATAACCCCTCCCCCTTTTTACTACTGAGTCCAGAGCCCGAGCCCGAACCCTGCGGGGCTTTTCTAAGGGCTTTTTGATCTCCACTGCCTCACGAAGAACTTATTTTATTATAATATAACTTTTATTATTGATATTTAGTTGTTAAAAGCTGTGAAAGGATAAGGAACCCTTTCTCTATTTCCCCCCTTTTTTCCCCCATAGGCTCCCAGTTAGTGTTGGGCTTTGACCCCCCCATCTGGGGAACATGGGGGATATTTAAAATATGTCACAGAAAATTTAAGATGTTTTACAAATAATTTAAGCATTAACTTATATCTCAGTGGTTTGGTTCCTTTTAATTTCGAGGGGCTGTGGCAGAGCCTGGGGGGGACTTTTGGGGGAGGTTCCATTTGAGGCATTGGTGTTGAGTTTTTGGGGTGATGGAGGGATGGGAGCTGGGTTGTGTTTCCTTGCCCCTGCACCTGTTCTGCTTTGAGATTCTGTCTCCATCCCTTGCTCCCTTCCTGCAGATCCCTGGATTTCCTCTGGAAAAATCCAGGAGTCCCACTGGGATCTGGGATGAGAAAGTGCCAGGCTGGTCCTGTAGGCACCATGCCCGGGGCAGCCCTTCAGGGAGTCAATTGGCACATGGCTGTGCCCAGCTGAGCTGGAGCAGCTCCTCCTGAAACCTCAGCCCAGGGCCAGGGGACCTGCCGGGGTTTGGGTTGAGTATTTGAGGAAAAAAGCCCTATTTCCTTTCTTTTTTAGACTTGACTTTTCTGACCTTCAATAAATGGGTGGTCTCTGGATGCTTTTGGGAAACTCTTGTTCCACGTCGAGCTTGATTTTAGGAGGAATTGCTGCTACCAAACCCCCTCCAAGGATCTGGGCACTGATTTGGTCCAGTTTTGGGACCAATTCTTGGATTTCAGGCCCATCCCTTGCTTCCCTTCCCTCTTTTGGAGCCCCTCTTGGAGGNCTGAGGTGCTGAGATCCCACATAGCTCCATGTGGCTGATGAGGGGGTTTGTCCTGCTGGACTGGGGCTGTTCTGAGCCTCCTGCTTGGTTTTGTGTCTCCTCTGCAGAACTGACTCATGAATTCCTGCAGATCCTTGAGAAAACTCCCAGCCGGCTGAAACGGATCCGCAACTGGCGGGTAAGAACTTCCACAGGCTGGGATTCCCTTGGGAATCAGCGAGCAGGACAGCAAGGGAGGGAGCTGGGTGTGGGGTTGGGACACTGGGGGTGATGCTCGTGGTGCTCAAGTTCATCTATTTTGAATTAACTTGTACAGAACTTGTACAGAAATTGTGTGTGGAATTGGGACACTGTGAGTGATGCTCGTGGTGCTCAAGTTCATCTGTTGTGAATTAACCTGTACAGAAATTGTGTGTGGAATTTGGATACTGGGTGATGCTTGTGGTGTTTGAGTTCATCTGTTGTGATTTAATTTGTACCGAAATTGTGTGGAATTGGGATGCTGTGTGTGGTACTGAAGTTCATCAGTTGTGATTTAACTTGTACAGAAATTGTGCAGAAATTGTGTGTGGAATTGGGATATTGTATGTGGTGCTCAAGTTCATCTGTTGTGAATTAACCTGTACAAAAATTGTGTGTGGAATTGGGATGCTGTGTGTGGTGCTCGAGTTCATCTGTTGTGAATTAACCTGTACAGAAATTGTACAGAAATTGTGTGTGGAATTGCAACACTGTGTGTGATGCTCGTGGTGCTCGAGTTCATCTGTTTTGAATTAACCTGTACACAAATTGTGTGTGAATTGGGATATTGTGTGTGGTGCTCGAGTTCATCTGTTGTGATTTAACTTGTACAGAAATTGTGTGTGGAATTGGGATGCTGTGTGTGGTGCTCAAGTTCATCTGTTGTGAATTAACCTGTACAGAAATTGTGTGTGGAATTGGGATACTGTGTGTGATGCTCATGGTGCTGAAGTTCATCAGTTGTGATTTAACTTGTACAGAAATTGTGTGTGGAATTGGGATACTGTGTGTGGTACTGAAGTTCATCTGTTGTGATTTAAGTTGTACAGAAATTGTGTGTGGAATTTGTATACTGGGTGATGCTTATGGTGCTCAAGTTCATCTGTTTTAAATTAACCTGTACAGAAATAGTGTGTGAATTGGGATATTGTGTGTGGTGCTCGAGTTCATCTGTTGTGATTTAACTTGTACAGAAATTGTGTGGAATTGGGATACTGTGTGTGGTGCTCAAGTTTATCTGTTGTGATTTAACTTGTACAGAACTTTGGTTTTCCAGCTGCATTAGCAGCCCTGCTTCCAGGGGTTGGGAATTTTTCCACAAGGAGGGATGGGAGCAGAGTGGATC